AAGGTCATCCTGCCCACCACCTCATTCAAAGGGCTGTAGAGCAGGGGGAGAGACTGGGCAGGGCAGAGGGGAGAGCAGGGATCTGAGACTGCTTGACCCACAGCAGTCCCATCCCCATCCTTGAGTCCTAGCCCAAATGCCTGCATCCCACATTCAGGAACCACCACACATCCTAGGGATACATGTCCACCAGAACTACCCTAACACCTCCTGGCAACCTTCCTCCTTCTCCACTTCAACAGGGGAAGCAAAGCTCTGAGCCTACCCTTCATAGGCCATTTTCCCACGTCAACCCAACCATCCACCCAGCCTAGCTGAGACCCAGCAAGATAGCCAGTTCCAGGAAAAGGGATAGAAGAAAGCAACCCAGCACCCCCTGCCCCAGGCTGGAGGTGCTCGCCTCATCTGGCACATCCTTCTTCATGAGGAAGGGCAGGTGGTGGGTGATGGTCAGCAGGATCTTCTCTGCTTGCTCTGGGGCCAGGTGGGGCAGCAGCCGTGCTGTGAGTTTCTTGCCTTTCCGAACACACAGGACCTGCAGGAACTCATCCTCTGCCTCCCTGGGGATGAAGGCTCCCATTGGCACAAACCCTGAGAGACCTGAAGCCCTTCTGCCCATCTAGGAGATGAACTGACATCTCCCTCACTCCCATGCATCTTCAGGGGATGACAAGGCTTGTAGATAGGGGCACCACAAATTAGGGTGACGCACAGAGGACAGAATCCCATTAACACATGATTACAGGGAACACAGCTAGGATCAGGGCATGCTGCCCACCCCTACTTCACCACAGCATATCTTACTCCTCACTGCTGCAGGCTCTGATATTCAGGGCCTGATAGATCCGTCCCACTTCCTGGGTCTTGTGCTCCTGCTCTTCTGTGGCTAAGGACATCTTCCGCTGCATCTCTTCCACCTCCAGCAGTTGCAGGAACAGCTAAAGAAATGCCAAGAGATGAGTGGCCAGCTTGGAGCATTTGCTGAATGTTCAAAACCCCCCACATCCAGGCAGACCTCCCCAACAGAGCTCCTTGGACAAGCCTCTGCTCCATCCCAGCATGCCGCAAAGCGGGGCCACCGCCACTCACCCTCTCAATCCTGTGCAGCGCTCGAAGCCGGTGGCTCCCTGCAGCCTTCAGGAGGGGAGAAAGGAAGGCACAGTTACAGCCAGCACCAGACACCGCTGCCAGCACAGCTCTGGGCCAGCTGCTCCCTGGGGATCAAAGTGGCTTCAGGACAAAGACCAACCCTGCACAGCGGCCACAGCCACCACCGGCTGTCCCATCCCACCCTGCTGATGCCATAAAAGTGACACACAGCCCTACTGCATGCCCCATCCGACACCCAGAGCCACGGTAGCTCCTATCACTCCTCCTAAACTTCTCCAAGACATGGAAGGAAGCTTGGAGCCCGGTGTCCCCCTTCACCTACCTCCTCCACCAGGGCATGGTGCACAGCATCGATGGCCCGCCGGGGGCTGTAGCAGGTGGATACAGCGACCTGGCCCAGCGAGCCGGCAATGCGCACCACTGGAAGAGAGCGGGAGCGTGGTAAGAGTGTGTCCCATGCCCCATATCCCAACCTCAGCAACAGCCCCTCACCAGAATTGTAGGTCTCCACTTTCTGGATGAACGGTGTCACCAGTTTGGGGGGCTCCTGCTTGTTGCGCCCACCCAGCAGCTCTTCCTCTGCCTGCTTGCGCTCCAGCCGGTGGTAGTAGGTCTGCAGGCAGCCAGAAGGACAACATAGGACCATCCTGTCCCATTCCTGCACAGGGCTCAGCACCTCAAGCCCCTGCATTTTCCAGCTTCCTCAGGTGTGAATGTGTAGCTCCAAGGAGCTGGGTGACCACAAGACCCCACAGAAGCAGCTCACCTGGTAGTAATAATCATCATCCAAGTTCTCACTCTGCAGCTGGATCATCTCCACCTTGACAATCCAGTCCTTCTCCTTGCAGGTCATCAGCCCAGCACAAGGGTCAGCTTTAGGGGACCACAGCTTCTTGGGGGAGACGCTGTCACAGGGAAGACCACAGCCTACTGTGAGCACTCAGATCCCCCCTGAGGCACCCCTAAGCCCCCCCTGTAAACCCCATACCTCTGCAATGTCCCACCCTGCTGCTGCCGCTGGGTCAGGATGCGCTGGTGCTGCGGGTGCAGCTGAGTGAGGTGGCTGGGCACGCTGCAAAAGGACAATGAGGACTGAAGACAATACAGCAGCTCCAACGTATCTCTGATGCGTTCAGGACGCATCTCAGGTCTTGGCTGAGTGCCACAAGGGCCACACCAGCTCCCTTGACCTTCAGACAACAGATGGTGACGTGCCCATGGCATGCTGTCCATCCTGACCTCACCCAGACCTGATGCCTCCTCACCATCACAACCACAGCTCAGCTCCCACACTTGAGCCACCCCCACGGAGCTACCAGCTTCTATGAGGGCTGCAGCACCCCTCCCCTGCCCCCAGGCAGGCACCCCACTCGCCATCCCTGCTACCTGAGGTTGAGCTGGCCACTGGTGGAGGGGCTGAAGAAGACAGAAGGATCCAGAGAATGAGACATTGGGCCAAAGTGCATGGCGAGAGACCGTGGTGGAGTGCCAATGTTGGGCGACAGGGGACTGAAAGGGCCTGGAGAGATGTACCCTGCAGACTGGAAAGGAAGGGAAAAGTGGTCAGGTGGCAGGGCACCCTGCTGTCCAGGGGCACCTGGAGGGATGGCTGGGCTCTACCAAAGCCACATTCTGTGCTCCCATATCTGGGCAAGGCAAGGGTACTCTAGTGTTATGCTGCTGCCTGGTGCAGCGCAGGTCCATCAAAGGTGCTCCAACGTGCTACCAAACAGGCCCAGTGCAGGAACATCAGGATAAATGTATTTAAGAAGCAACAGCTATAACCATCCCCATCGAAGATAAAGAGTGCCCAGGATGAGACTGAGCTGCAAAGGCTGCCACTTGGGAGAGATGTTGAGACGTGCTCAGAAGCATCTTCCAGGACATAGCACTATCTGTGGGATTAGTGGCCAACAGCTCGCTCCATTACCTGGTTGGAAGTAAAGAAAGAAGAGGCTCTGCGGGGTGGTGGGAAGGGCCGAGGGGAGGATGTGGAGCATGGTATCAGAGGTTGCTGCAGGAGTAAGATGTTACTGGGATCAGCAAGGCACAGCCACAAATCCCAGCCTCATAATAGGTCCCATACAACATAGAAGCATCTCAGAGCTTGGGACAGCTTCTGGAGCAGGGAAGGCAGAGGAGCAAAACAAGAGTCTCTGAAAACCTGTACCTGCTGGAGGAAGTGCTGGGGGAAAGACTTGGGGGACATCCCTCTGAAGTCAGGGCGCTTGTGCCGTGGGGAACCCACATACCCCCTCTGCACAGGGGAGCCGAGGAAGTCGAGGGCCATGTTGGTGGCAGTAGGCGGCCTCTCCAGGACCTGCAGGATGGCTTTGTCCTGTGGGAGGAGGTGGCAGATGAAGGAAATGGAGCCTTGACTGCTCAGCACCATAAGGGACACACAGGGAGAGCCCCAAGGACGCACCTCTAGCATGTGGTGGGGTGGAATGCTGCTGGGGCAAGAGCCCCATGCCATGGGGTCCATTGCCAGCTGGAAGACAAACAGAGATCAGCACGGGGAGAGGAGGGGCAAGAGACACTCACTCTCTGTTACTAGTGTGGAGGGGATGTTTTTACCATGTCCTCTTGGCCAAATTCTGCCCAGTCAGAGCCAATCCTGCTGTCCAGCACCGCTGAGTCCTGGCTCTGAGAGCAAAGAGAACAGTTAGTGATGTACACTTTGCAAAAGCACCACGGGCACGACCTTGTTACCTCCCAGAACCACCCCTTGGCCCCCCATGGGACACAGTCCACAGTACAAAGATGGAGAAAGGAGCAGCAGGACCACACCACCGACTCTGCTTGGGCACTGGGGGACCCCAGGGATTTCACTCAGGGTCCCATCCCCCCCCCAACCAGGCATCACCTCCAGCGTGGGCTTGCTCTGTACAGCTCTCATCACTGCTGGGTCTCCCAAGTCGTTGGGTTCCTCCTCATCCTCCTGTTCCTCAACTCCCTGCTCTTCCTCCTCTTCTTCCTCCTCCTCCTCAGAGCCCACCTGCTCAGCCTCTGCCTCTGTCCCACCTTGGCCCTGGAGCTCTCCCTGCTCCTCTGTCGGTGGCTGCCCCTCCACCACTCGGGGCTGTTCCTCAGGCTCCAACAGCTCAGGGCTCCTCTCTGGAGGCGCCGGGGTTTTGGTGGCATCCTCCTCAGTGGAGTCACGGTCTTGAAGGAAGAAGCAGAGCACACTGAGGGCAAACAGACACTCCCACCCCCCAGCTCAGCCCCTGCTCAGGACCACCTTCCTCACCGCCCCCTCCATCCGCAGTCCTACAGGTGCTGGTGGTCAGCCCAAATCCGGGCTCCTTCTGACCTTACCCAGCCCAAACGTCATCTCATTGTACAGGTCGAGCTCCTCGTCTTCCTCAGCCATCTCCTCCAGCAGAGGAGCATCTTCCACCAGCAGGTAGTCCTCGAGGATCTGGGGGAAGAAAGGGGCGGCAGCGGGGACACCGGTAAGGCTTCAGAGCGAACGCAGCGACAGCACAGCCCCGCGTCAGGGCAGGGCGGGCACTCACCACGGGCTCGCCGCCCTCCGCCATGACGCGGCCCCGCCACCCCCGCCGCCCTCTACGGGGCCGCGCTGCCCCGCCCGCCGCCTTTTACGGTTTCCCGCGCTGCCGCTGTCGCGCACGCGCCGTGCCGCACGGCACCGCCCGTCGACTCAGTGCGCCTGCGCAGCCCCCCCCCCCACGTTAGGCCACGCCCACCCGCTTTCGGGAAAGAGAAAGCGAAAGCGAAAGCGGTGCTCCTGCCGTGCGCAGGCGCCGTGGGCCGCGCCGCTCCGGCTCCGTAACCTCTACACCGCCGCTCTGCCCGGTGACAGGTGACGCGGGGGGCTTACCGCGCCGCCATTGGCTGCAGTGCAGGCGGGCGCAAGCGAGCGGCGGGCGGGGCCATTCCCCGAGAAGCGCGGAGCGGAGCGGACGGCGGAGCCATGGGGAAGGCGGCGGTGATGCTGGTGGCCCTGGTGGCCTTGCTTGGGCTGGCGCAGGCCGATTGTGAGTGCCGGGGCCGGGCGGGAGTGCGGGCGCGGGGTGCTGACCCCTCCTTTGGGGTCGCTCCCCGTGCGGGGCTCCCCCCGCTCAGCACCCCTCCGTCCCCGCAGTGACGCCCAAGGTACAGGTGTACTCCCGCTTCCCCGCCTCCGCGGGCACCAAGAACGTCCTCAACTGCTTCGCGTCCGGCTTCCACCCGCCCAAGATCTCCATCACGCTGATGAAGGACGGCGTGCCCATGGAGGGCGCGCAGTACTCCGACATGTCCTTCAACGACGACTGGAGCTTCCAGCGCCTGGTGTACGCCGACTTCACGCCCAGCAGCGACGCCGTCTACACGTGCAAGGTGGAGCACGAGACCCTGAAAGAGCCGCAGGTCTACAAGTGGGGTATGGCCGCCTCCTCCTCTTCCCTGTGCTGCCGGCCCCGTGGCCGTGAGCGCCCGTGGCCCTGAGCCCCAGTGGCCCTGAGCCCCATCGTTCTGGGCCCTGACATCGCTTCTTTCCCTCCTTAGATCCCGAGTTCTGAGCTGTGCCCGGGATGAGCACGGTGAGTGACGTCCTGCGGGTAAAGGGAGGCCCCCTAAATAGCCCACAGAGCCAACAAACAGGACGAACGATCACAAGATCCCCTGTGTTCCCACTGACAGCTAGCAGGGCTGTTCTGAAGCTCTTTCTGCTTAATATTACAACCGGTGCTCACCCACACCCAGCCTAGGAACCCTGCTTTTCCTCCCAGAAGAGAGCAGTCGCTTGGAGCAAAGCTCTTTGGCATGTCTGCCGGCCGCCAATACAAGCTGTCACTGCCCATTTCAGTGCTTTTCCTCCCCACCAGCCAGGAGAATGGCATCACAGGGTCTGGAAGTTCCCCTGCTTGGAAATCCCCTGCACCTCAGGGAAGGCAGGATGGTTAGCCTGCGGTGGGCATGGCAGAGTCAGCTTGGTGTGAATAGCAAGCCCAACCCATGATGGAGAAAGCTGCATCATGGCTGAAAGATCTGCAGTACAGCTTGAAACTGAAACTCCTTTGCTGAGATCTCTGTCTGAGGCTGGTTGAATATTGACAGTGGGAGCTGAGCCTTTTCCAGGGAAGTTCCCTCCCAGCTAGCTCGGGAAACAAAGGTTTTTAGGCTGACTCATGGGTCATGAGTCACGTGAACTTTAAGATGGAGCAGGAAGGGAACTCTTGGGCTGAACTTCTTGAGGTGTAGAAGGATCACAGTTCTTTACCTGCCTCTGTTTTCCAAAATGCTTTTGAGCTCTTCCTGCAAAGGCTGGGAGGGGTGCTGGTATTCAGGAACGGGAGAAAATAGGGGTGAGGTGAACAGGGGAAGAAGAGGGTACTCTTAATTAGCAGCACAAAAACCTGCAATACTGAGAGGCTGGAAAGTCTCAAAAGCTAAAAAATGGTTGCATTGGAAGAACAGGTTCTTAAAAAATAATGAAGCAGTTGAAGCAGTGCACAGAGCAATTGATATCAATCTCCTCTCTCCCATGCAGGTCTGTAGAATTCTGCATTTCAAGTGGAAATGAGCTTGAGCTTCTGTCCTTTTTTGCATCACACTTCTGGGTAGGATGGCAAAGAGCAAGCATCTTCATCATGAAATTCCTTCCTTTAGGATGCTCTCCTAGGGTTAGCAGCAGTGGTCTGAAATCTGTGCTCCTGGAAAAGCATTGGGGGGCGGGGACGACTGACGGGGTGGGGAAGGCGATGGGGGGGGGGGGGGTTCTGCCTTGCAGCCTTCAGGCATGCAGCAGATGGTTTGCAAATATGGAGATGCTGTTGAAGGTACCTTGACCTGTTGCTTAGGATGAAGGAAGATGCAAAGCAAGCTGATTGGGATTGGAATTGTGAAAATTTATAATGCAAATTCATGCCTTCGAAACTTGTGCATAACTGTGCAAATTCACAACTCTGAAACTTGTGTGTTCCCCAGGAAAGGAACAGAATTAATAGCAATAAATCAGTAAAGCCTGCTCTCTAACAGCTGTTCTCCATAAACAATTGCTGGAGCTTGTGTTAAAATACCTTTGACTTGGAGCAGCGTTCTGTCTTGGCTTATCTGAGCACGTAGCTCTCAGTATCTGCACTGCCACTGGAGCTCTTCACCGGTCTGAATTGTACACAAGTTTTACCCAATAAAACCAGAAAAGACAAAATGATGATTTTCAGGGCGCAGGGAGCTGCCTGGGGAGGCATTACCCAACCTGAGCGCTGCTGTGGCTCCTGGGGGGCTGCTGCGGTGATGTCGTGCTGCTGGGTCCAGCTGGACGTGGTGGGTGCAGATCTCAGCTCTGGGCTGGGCTGAGTTATCGCAGTGCTTTCATGGATGAAGATTGTGTTGCTCGAGGTTGATGCAGTTCCGGCTTGTTTTGTAGACCGCTCTGTTACATTTGCGCTGCCTATGCTGAGCAATGAGATGTGCACAAACCTCTGCCTTTCTGCTTTGCTCCACGCTTTACTCAAGGACGCATCGTGTGCTGACGAGCTCCTCACCTCAGATAAAAATACCTGAAAGCAGGGTTTGGTCTGAACATTCCTGGCAGGAAAGCTGCGCTCCCAGCCTTGGCTCACTCCCCCCCCCCCCACCCCTCAGCGTTTCCCGCCGCTGCCCCTCAGCTTCCCGCCGCCATGTTTAAGGGCTGCCAGGCCTGGTTCTCCCACAGCGTCCAGCCCGGCCCCCGGCAGCTGTGGGGTGAGCCCTGGGGTGGTTGTGGGGCTGTCTTGGGGTGTGTGGGGACACGCTGGGGCGGGGGGAGCACGGAACAGGGTGGGGGATTCGCAGCAGAGTGTAGGAAATGCATTGGGGTGCGTGAGGGAGTGAGCTGGGCTGCGCTGACAGCGCGGCACGAGGGCGTGTGGTGTTGGGCTTACCTGGGACAGCTTGGGGGGGGGTGCATTAAGGGCTGGGGGTGCTGCTGGTGTCTGCACCGTGCGGGGATGCAGTGGGCTGTGTGACACACGGGGGTTCGCCTTCGTCCTCACCCTGCTCTTCCTCCCGCAGTGGCTGGCGGAGGGCTGCTCACCCGCTGGCAGGACGCCGACTATCTCTTCAGCAGCGATGCTGCTCACCCCGATACCCGCAGGTTGGCTCTGTCCCCCCTTAGTGCCACCCCCGGTGCCCAGCACACACCTGGGAAGGTCCTGTTTGGGGTTGGCCGTCTCCATTGCTCGCTGATGGCGTGCTGGAGGGGCTCTGCTGGTTTGTTGGGGGGCAAAAGGCAGTGAAGTGCAGCTGATGGGAACGCTTGCATTAACGCTGATGTTCCCCAGTGGTGGGGATGGCGTTGTGAGGCTGCTGACATGGCTTTTTGTGGGAGAGCAGAGCAAGGCGGGAGCTGATCCATCTGCACTCACACCAGCGGAAATAAAACCCGCCTGGACTTAGTGCTGTGCAAGACCTGCGTGCAGAACCAGCTGATACCTGTAGCTGGGTAAATGGAGGCAATGGGGCTGACCTGCTACAAAAGCTTGGGGTCTGAAATAAAGTTGGCACCACCCCAGGGCTTATGGGGCAAACAGAGAAGTAACCACAGGCAAAAACAAAACAAAACAAAACAAAACAAAACTGAAACAAGCAGGAAGTAACAGAACACAAGTGCTGATTTCAGACCGATCAGAGCCAAAGCTTCTTCTGTTTGGCTCATAGTTGTGCTTACCTTCAGAAACCACCCCTTTTCTTTCCCAGCATACATGAGAGCCTGCAGTACCTGGATGGCAGAGCTACAGTGTTCCATCCCTGTTACCTCTCAGCATGGCTGAACAGCAGCACTGCCAAGCAGCAGCCCGTGGCTCTGGGGCACTTCGTGCTGCCCCCTGCCTGCCTGCAGGAAGGTGAGGGGCTGTGCCCCATCCCCTTGCTCCGAGGGGTGATTTCCTTCTGCTGGGAGCGATGCCTCCTCCCCACGGCTGAGGAATCGGTGCCCCACTGCTCAGGGCGCAGTGCTGCTCACTGGGCTGCTGTTACACTCATTTATTTTTTTTGCTCACGGCAGAAATCAGGAGAAAAATAGGTAGATTTCCTTGGGAGCAGATGGATGATTCCCTTGTGGAACAGGTGCGTGAGAAACACCCCACGTAGGTGCTGTAACGACTTGTGTCAGCCTCTAGGGCTGCTGCCCACAGCTGTGGGTGCCCCATCCCCAGAGGTGACAAGGCCAGGGGTGGGCAGCCTAGGCTGGGGGCAGGCAGCTCAATGCAGGGTGGGGTTGGGGGGGGCCCTTGCAATTCTAAGAGTCTGGGACTCTGGCTTTCTTTGCAAATCACTCAGCTCCCACTGCGCGCGGTCCTCTTGAGGTCATTCCTCAGTATGTTTGAAGCAAAAAGTGTTGCTGGATTGAAAACTTTCTTGTGAATGGTGCACCATTTTAAATGAATTCTGCACTGATAATCACAGCCTGAAGAAAATCTGTCTGATGAACCAGAGACAGTGAGCAAGGAGTGTGAGCAAGGAGCTGGGGAGGATGCACAGAACCTACCTGAAAGGTATTTCTGGCCATGGCAAGGGGACTTGGAGGTGTCCTCATCTGTTAGAAAATACCCAGCACAGAGTAACACACGATTCCTCCCAACACAGCAGTGAAGGAAAAAGGGGCTCAAGAGCATCCAGCCAGGAGGAAGTTCCATGCCATGCACTCCAGGAATACCCGATAAATAACATGGTGACAGGTAATGTGCAGCTTGGGTAGGCCTTTAAGTGGAAGACAGCCTGGAAATGGCCGCAGATGCTGGTGGAGTCAGGGCCACCCCCAGGGATTGCTCTCTACCTACCTGCCAGACCCCAAGACTGCTAAAATTCACCCAGAAGATTGTCTTGGGTTTTATTGACGCTGCTGTTCCTGATGGCTCTGCACTGCTCGTTGCTCATTGCTCCCATTTGCAATGTGCAATCCCTGGTGCAGAATCATGCAGGTATGGAGGTCCACCGTCCCAGGTTGCCCCTCGATGCTGATGCTTATTCCCAGTTGTTATAAAGTCCTGAGGGCACAGCTGGGATTGCACCTGAACACCTCCCATGTTCCACAGCTCCCATTTCACCCAACAGAGTAACGCTGGGCTTTAGAGCAGCACTTTCCATCCCTAGGCTACACCTCTGCCCGTGACATGAGGAAATACACTGGAGAACTACACGACTTCACTCCTGGCACCGCGGGTTGCACCGCCTACTGGGTTCATCATGAAATCAGCCTAAAAAAATTCTAAGTAACAGGCAGCTGTTCTCAGCAAAACCTTAACTGAGCTCTGCCCAACACCATCAGCCAGCTATGGCAGTCCAGTTCTGTTTACCAGCATCCTGTGGTTGCTACAAGTAACGCTGCCTTCCCTGCCTTCCTGCAGATTGACCGTTATTCCAGTGCGCAGCCTTTGTTATCACTGCATTTTAATTACAGCGAAGAGATTGGTGACACTGAGCTGCAAATTCCAAGTTAAATCCCTGCGGTGCTTGAGGGAGCTCTAACCTATCTGTGTTTGGTTTATCCTCGTGACAGCTCAGTACACTTTACATACCTGCCTGCGTTTGTTGTAAACGTTTTTTTTTCCTAACTATTGAAAGCAAATTCCACAGCAAACATAAATACAGGTGTTTCCCCCAAAGAGCAAACCCTCTGCCTTTTCATTTGTATGGGGTACTGAACGTGTGTGCTGTGGCTGCCAACGGTCAGGAGATCCTTTGGCTCAGGGCCTGCAGGGAGCCCTGTGGGTTGAGTGGGTTCTGAGCACAGGCCCCAATGTTCTCCTTACCAAAACCCATGTAAACCACAGGCTTGAACACAAGCGCAGACACTGATCGTGGAAAAGGTAGGGAAGGAAACAGGCTGAGAACCCTTATCTGCTGGAGGAGCCCGGGAGAATGGCAGGGACTGGTAGGTTCTCCGCACAGCAGGATGGGAGTTGTGGGGTGAACGCAGCCCTCTCTGGGGACAGTGGTAGGAGACACATCTCCTGGGGGTCCTCCTGGGGGCTCCAGGGCCTGTCTCCATATGGGCTTCCTCTCAGACAGCACGTTGCTCAGCTCAGTTCGCTCCCCTTGTAGAAATAAACACAGAGACTTTTCCTCTTCCATCTAAGCACTGAGAGATACGGTCAGAAAGACAGCTTTTATTCTGGCACAACACGACCTTGCGAGCTTCCCACTCAAAGCTGGGAGGCTCTGAGGTCGCTCCATGTTTGCCTTCTCCCAACCGCGCGCCACCACCCCGACATCAGTAAGGACACTGCCAAGCAACAGCTCTGCACTCTCGCCCCAAACAACCAGGAAGGTGTCAAGTCCTCCTCGCACTGAGACACCTCGGATGCAGCACCCAGGGAGGCCCTCCGCTCCGCCCCGCCGTGGGCTTTGAAAGAACGAGCAGGCCGAGTTGGTTTCCTACATTTATTGTAAAAGCAACACAGCGAGCAGCTCAGAGCGCGCCTCGCGGCGTTTTGAAGTTCATCCCCACGGTGGGCTGCGTGACCTGCAGGTTGGACAGGCTGCCGAAGTCCTGAAAAAGAGCCTGGGGTCAGCAGTGTGCCCAGACCCACCGAGGGAGGAGGTGGAGCCCTCCCGGCCACGGGGACAGAACGTTCCAGGCTGTCAGTAGCCCCAGGAGCACTGCTGGGGACACGGTCACCACCTCGGCTGGGTTGCACCAGGCCGCAGGGTGGCCTGAGCTACTCACCAGGAGCTTCAGCATTTCCTTGGTGTCCGGGTCCACTTCAATGATCTCCTGATCGAGAGCAGAGACCTGGGGACAGAAGAGAGACAGCAAAGGTTTGGCTGTGCCTTGGGGAGAGCCGATCCACTGCCCCCACCAGAGTGAGCCAGGAGGAACCCGATCAAAACACCTCGCAATTCCCTTCTCCAGACCTCGACCTCTGTGCGCTCCCTTCCATTATAGGCAACACCACACCAGTAAGAAACAAGTAGGTTCATCCTGCAGCTCCTTCCCCGCTCAGCAGCTGCAACCTGTCCCATCTGCAGCTGAGCGAAGCCCCCTGCAGCAGACACAGCTGACACCCAAGGGCTCTGAGAGCAGCTGCACAGTGCTGCTCCCTTCCAGACACCACGAGTGAGGAATCACACCAAGCCCAGGCACCAGGCTCATCATCCCATCCCGGCCTACAAAACTATCTGCTTTCCCAGATTTAAAATAAGCAAACCAAGCACCAGCAAACTAGGAGAACTGAAAAGCACAAATAATCAAACGGCAGCTAACAGCATTACAGGAGATCAGGAAGAGGGGCACAAAGCCGATGTCCGAACGCTACAGGGTTTGGGAGGGATGGCACGGACCCAACCAAACACGGGAAACGCTTTCGGGTTCCTCTCCCTGCACTATCAATGACCGGGCCACGCAGCAGACCACGATCACTTTCGAATGCAGGTTCGGGGGGTCCCCGCGGGGTGGCTGCGCTGTGGGACCGGCTCAGCGCTGTGGCACCGAACCACGGCTGCCCTTCAGCGACATCTGCTGCACGGCGGCTTCGGGCCGTGCTGTGCGCCGAGCTGTTATCGAGCTTATTTTCAGCTAGGGAAACGAAGGGCAGCGCCCTCCGGCCGGCAACGGTGCCGACTAAAAGAAGGCGGCAGCGCCCGAGGGAACGCCGTGCTGGGCTACGGTGCGTTCCACCTCTGCCCCGTGCCCGGCCCCCTCGGGGACGCGCTCCGCAGCCCGGCGCCCTGAAAGCACCGCTCTCAGGAAACAGCCCCGTGCCGCAGCCCGAGCCCCCAGCCCACGTGAGCGCGGCCGGCCGCACCTCGGGCACGTAGTTGTCCCGGCGCTCCCTCTCCTCCTCCTGCAGCTTGATGGAGATGCCCCGGACGGGGCCCCGCTGGATGCGCTTCATCAGGTGGGTGACATACCTGTGGGACAGGCGGCGTGACGGGGTGGCAGACAGACAGACAGACACACACAGCCGGGCTGAGCCCCGGGGCCCGAGCACGGCAGGGTTCCGCTCCCCTCGGGCCTCACCCCGCGATCTTGTTGCGCAGCTTCTTGCTGGGGATGATGGCGATCTCCTCGCACACGCGCTTGTTGGTGTGGAAGTCGTTGCCCAGCCGGGTGTAGTACTTCTCGATGATCACCCGCGCCGCCTTCTTCACCGTCTTCGTCCTCACGCGTCCCTGCGGGGACACGCACCGCCGCTCGCCAGCCGCCCTCCGCCCCTACTGCCCGCCGCCCCCCAGCAACCCGCCCCGCGCTCCGGAGCCCCGCGATGAGCCGCCCCGGCGGCCGATGGCGGCGGATGGCGGCGGCCGGGACTCACCATGGCTGTGGCTGCCGCAGAGAAAGAGAACACAAAGGAGGGGCGGAAGCGGGAGTGGACGCCGGAAGCGCGCGCAGCGCACAGCGCCCCCTGGCGGGCAGGAGGACCGCGCTGCCGTAGAGGCCCGGTGCCTCCCCGTGTCCCCGTCGAGCACCGACAGCGGCCCCCGGAGGCCGTGCTGCGTGAAGGCGGCCGGTGCGGCCTCGCCGCTGAGCCCAGCGGCCCCGAGGCCCCGTTTGGGCGCTACGGGCTGCGACGCGGCCCTAGCCCCAGCAGCCACAGGGCTCCCAGCCCGCCGTGCAGCCCAGGGGTGCAGCCGTGCTAATGGGCACCCTTAGCCACTGCCTGCCACCGCTACGGGGCAAAGGGGAACCAGCCCCCTAAAGCCAAGCATGAGAAGGGAAGGAGAGACACGTGTAGGGAACCATGGCCCCCCGCACCCAAGGGGCACTGGCCACCCTCATATCAGAAACCCGGAAGGCCCTGTGCAGCACGTGGGGCTGGTCTCAGCCTTTCAACGCGCCAAGCACATCAGCCTCAGTGAGAAGCAAGCTCCAGCTGGAGCATCAGGCCCAGGGCCTGAAAGTGCAGCTCCCAGTATCTGCATCACCCCCAGTACCAGAGTCACCTCATCTCAATGGAGAGATGATGACAACAGCTTTAACCCGGGAGCAGGGAGCCCATCCCCCCCGCTGCACATGGGCAGAAAGAAAGGAGCACAGAGGGCTTTTTGCTGCAACGTGTTTATTATGTGCCAAAAACTACACCACAGCTTACTCCACGCGTCTGTAGGAGAGTGCAGTCTTGCCTGCATATACTACAATGAGGTAGAGACTTCACACACAGCTTCACGAAAACCCCACAAAGAGCAGCTGGGATATGCAACAATGCAACATCAGCTCAGCAGGAGAGGGAGAAATTATGACACTGGTTCTTTGGCACACAGCTTCTGATAGAGGGGAAAGTAAAAAAAAAAAAAAAAATTTCAAATCCCAGCAGCATTTCAGTCGACTGCACCATTACTTCATACATTTCTGAAACAAAAGGAAGAGTACTTGTCCCCTCTAAGAGAAAGGGCTCCTATGAACCTCCATCCGTCCGCCGAAACGCAGCCCTTTTTTAGCTAGTTACAAAAGGAAAGTAAGTCCTGTGACTTTGTGATTAAAAACCTCTATCAACCCCCCTTAAGTGCAACAAACTATTTAAAACTATATACAGCAGCTCAGAGATCATTTATCCGGTCCAGTTTCAAATCCAGAAATCCTGTCCTGTTTCTGTTGCAAACGCCTCGATTTACAACTTCCCACCAGCAGCCCCCAGACACAAATTGCAATAATGTTAAAAGCTGCCAGGAAAGAAAAATCTCTCATTTCAAACGACTTAAAAACTGTTCAAGAGTGTAAAAAGGAACTGGTAAAAACCCTTGAGCGTAAAATATGAAATATGATTTGGTTTAAATGAAGAGCAAAGTCTCCTTGTTGTTACAGTAAAAAACGCCAGCTGAACATTCAGTTTATGCCGTTCAGATGGGGGTTAAATGAATGGAAAGGCACTGTATGGCAACTGCAAAAAAATGGAGCCAATGAGACCTGCATTATTACCATCAGTATTGCAAGGAATGTAAAAAAGCGCCTTTAATAAATAAAAAACCTAGGTGAAGGCATCTGCATAAACACCTTCTCAACACGCGGCCCTTTTTGCTTCTCGTCAAACTAGGAACCAAAGTCTGGGAACTGCAGAATCGCTCGAGGGGGCACTTCCCCCCCTCAAAAACCCCAAACAAAACCCAACAAAATTCACTGTGCATTAGTGCAGAAACAAAAAGACCAGCAAGTGCAAACGTGAATGTAAGATTTTCCCATTAGTCCTCAGGAAGCGCGTTCCCAGCCTGGGTCTGGCACCAGCAGGCACGCTCGTGCGCTCTCCACTTGGCAGGTTAACAAAAGGACTTTCCCCCGCGCCCGCGCCCCGACCGCCGCTTTAGCTGGAGTCCCCGTTCTTCTGGTTGCGCATCAGCGGGCGGTGGTGACGCAGGACCTCCATGGAGTGCTGCCAGTGCCAGCAGGAGCGGCAGAAGTACTTGAAGCAGATCTGCAGGGAGAGAAGGGAAGAGAAAAAACGCCGGTCAGGATGGGCTGAGAGCCCCCTGGGCGCTCCCACAGCCGGCACTGGAGAGCTCCGAAGCACGGGGCTCCTGCTTCAGCGGCCCATCCTCAGCAAGGACAACACGCGACCCCGAGGACCTCAGCTGTGAGGAGCAGAGCCTGCACAGCCACGCAGCACCGCCAGCCTTACCTGGTCCCTGCAGAAGAAAGGGCCAGGCTGAGCACTGCAGACTT